CCCCATATTAGTTAGGTAAGGTAGTTACTTCATGCCTTGTTATCAGCAGTGAAACTGGAATATAAATGTATAATCCTATCCTAAACCCCCTCTTCTTCCCTCCCCCTCACCCCAGTTATTTCTTCCTGTGACCACATTGTGTTTTACTACCCTTCAGCTTCCCCTGTGACTTGAGAGGTTTGTACTGTAAACATGATGACTGAAATGATTCTGGTTATAAATAACAACCTTCTGCTTTGTTTTGTTTATTTTTAGTTTGATGCAGCACTTCAGAGGCTAGTGATGTGTGTAAACAGGGTTGATGAAGCAGATACAGAGGGAGAGGACTCCTTTGGTGGCTTCTCTGCTGAAGGAATTATATAATGTAACTTCTCCCTTCTGCACAGACACTTGTTTGATATCTGCTTGTTCCACTTTGACAGAAAAAAGGAACCAGCTGCTGGAGGTCATTAGTGCACTCAGGTCACATGAGCTGTAGAAATTATTCAGAGTTATCTTGGGGTGTGTGCATGATCTTGATTTATGTTCTCTTCTCTGATCATCAGCTGGAGCTTTACGATGAAGACTGCTCCAGCATCTTTTGGCAGTGGATTGCCTCTGGAAGAATGAAGCTAGCTAATGATTACCTGACTCTGAGGGGGTGTACGTCCTTATCAGTTGGCTTAAGCATGACAAAGGGGTCATCGGCCACGGTAGCATTCTGATTAACGTATCTGATTCCACTATCACTAGCTACTACTTTTGGATTTCAAAAGGGGTGAGGGAGGCAGATTCAGACCTAAGGTCACTAAAGCCACAAAAAGCAGGAATAAGAATGATCAAATTTCCATGGGTTCTCATGGTCATCAGCGTGTTTACACTGGAAACAGAAGCCATCTCTTATCTATATCTGAGAGGGAAGGAGACCAGTGTTCTGCTGCTCAAAGTGCTCCAGCTATTTGTTTTATGTGGAATTGATTAAACAGCTCAATCATCATAACAGGTTCCCAAAACATTTTCTTGTCGAAAACAAACAAGATTGCTGGTTGATAAGTGATATGATTAAGATACTAATGAATTCATTAGTCTGTGGAGTAAATCTTTACAGGCTAAAGTATTTTTTGGCAAGGAACATGAAATATAAACTACTCCTTATCAGTTACATAATCTTTTTTTTTTTCTTTGTATAGGTCTAATTTGTTACTGTTTTCTGAGATGATGATCTCTCTGCCTCGCATGTTGTTGTTACACTCTTTTCAGTGGATAAGATCAGTTTATTAGAGGAAAATATATCCTACTGAATCCAACAGCCTAAGGAAGGCAAGGCTGCTGCTCCATATCCCCAGGTCCAACCGGTATCAAGGCTGAAGATGTATTCCTAACAGGCACACACACACAGAGCATATCTACATTTAGACAGGCAACACCAACAGCCTCATCTTCCCCTCTCTGACTAACCAGGACAGAGGTCCAAGGGTGAGACTCTATGTACTTATATAGATATACACACACGTATATATGTATGTACAACGTGGATCCCTCCAGCAACTGGGCTCAGACACTCAATCTGTCTAGTGGTTAGTTCCTGCATCCCAGTCCCCCCACTTGCTGGCAGCTGGCCATATAAGGCCTCAAGGCTGTAGACTCACTCCGGTTGCTGGTACAGACCATCACATGCACATGCACATCGCTGTCCAGGACTTCCCAGGTCCCAGTAACTGTCCCCACTATGCTCTTACTCTTAAAGGTAGGTGCTCTCACACCCAGAGCTGGCAGGAACTCCCATGGTCCTATAGCTGACCCTCCTGTGCTGCTTTGGACTGGTGGAGATGAGCCTTTCATGGGCTGATGGTTCCAGTGATGGACCTGGGATTAGCCCAGCAGGGTTTTATCCAGGCTCTCTGTCCTGCCATTGTCCCTCTGAGTAACTCTGTGGATGTGTGGAGGAGCTTTTTTCACATGACCCAACACATTATGTAGCCCTCTTGCCTTTCTGTGTGTAGTAGAGTGGAAATTTTGCCTGCCTAAAAGCTGTATAGGAATTCAAGGTCCTAATTTTTATTTCTTGTCTTTTTTTTTTTTCCCAAAGATTCACTCTTGGAGTGCATTTATTAGTTTAGGACCTGCATAAGGAAAATTCTGTTTGCTTCACAAGTCACTTCTATATTTGTGAAGCTTTACATGTAAATGCTACAAGTCTAAAAAATCTATTTGTTAGTGGATTAAGTGGGAGTAGCGGGGGAGGAAGTAGGGTGATAAGAACAGTCCAAGAAAACTAGAAGAACACATTCCTTATGACCCCACCCAGTCATATTACACCTTTGTGCTGTTTTTTTTAAAAAAAAAAATTATTCCAGCCTAGTCTAATTTTATACATACCACTCAAGGTGATAAAGTGAAAAGGCATAGGGCACTTGGGAAAGAGGCCAGAGAGGAAAGAAAGAAATGAGGGAACATGTGGTTCCTAAAATTGCCTCAGTTTTTATCTAGCCTCTTCAGACGGCAGGAACAGACCTTGCAATGACTCTGCTTTTCAGTGTTTATTTGGGAGAACATATTTTACATAGAGTGGCAGTATTTTCACCAGCCCTTTGGCTGATGGCAGTCACCTGTATTTGTAAGCTTAAAGATACAAACTACTTCATAGATTTTTCAGTTCATGATCAAACTTGGAATTCCCCAGCACAGATGTCTTTTTCTGCTAGTACTGTGCACCTGTGCTTTTCCACTATTTAAAGCAACTCTGTGCTTAGCTACCAGAAGAAAGCTTTTCTGCTCTTTTAAAACAGGCAAGTCAGTGGATCTGCCACTGACTCCCCCCTGTTGCATTAGGTAGTTCAGATACATTCAGTTTAGATACACAAAGTTAGGAGCAAAAGTGCCCCATTTTGTAATTATAAGCCTATGAAAGCTGCAATAGTTACACAGTACACTATTATTCATGTCTCCAGCTTCTTTTTTTTTTTTTTTTTTTTCCATTCCCATAGTCATATTTTGATTATAAGGAACAGCAGCCAAGTCATGGTCCTCATAAATTTTATGACTGCATTCCAATTCATGTGGACTGGATCAAAAATTATTGTCCTCTACAAGAATCAGTGTAGATGGCTTGACAGCCCTCCTTTATTATCTAAAATTGGGAAGGAAAAGTACTTAATTATTAGTGATAGTGTTAAAACTTGATGTTTGCTTCACTTCTTTAACACCTTCAATTTGATAATAGCAGTAAAGACATAAGATAGGCCTTTATCAGTCAGATAAAGAATTGCTACCTCTTAAGTCTTTTGCATACAGCTTTTAACTACTTCAGCTCAACTCTTATCTGGCTGATAAGATTAATGGCAGTGTTTCTTTTATAGCTTTTTAATTTTATTCTTGCCATGAAGTTCAAAGGTTGTCCGAGAGCAGTATTCCTCTACTAATTAAAGACTCAGATGCCCAGAGATTGCTTTTCTCTTCCTTGTGATAAAGGCCTGGGAGTTTTCAGAAATCATAGCAGTAAGTTTTGACTTTATGAAAATGACAGTACCTACTTCTGTTCTTCCTTGAGTGTGCTGGGAGTGAAGGGCAAGACTGGATTTCCAAGCCTTGGATATCTCTGGTGGCAGTGTGTCATATTGCTATGCATCAAACACTGGGAGAGACACTTCAACCAGTCGCAAAATGCTGCTATTTTTCTACTCTATGGACAATGCATATCATCTGTTGTAAATGCAACATCTCAGTCCTTGCTCTGTGTGTGCTTTTGCAAAAGAAGTGGATGATATTAAAGGCCCCCATCTTTATCTACAACTTAATATTCAAAATTATCATCAGAGACCGTGGTTATATAGGGCTGTTATGATGAACTTGGTGACGTGACACGGAATACAGAAAATTATGCATCCAGTTATAGTTTTGGAGTAGATTTAGGATCTCTTTTAATGGCTTGTGATTTGTTCTCTTTGTTCTGGTATTCACTGTGAACCATAGCTAAACGTAAGATCCTATCATATCCTTCCTCAGGTTTACTTTTGTGTTAGATGGTTCTCATGATTCAGTGCAGTATAACTTCCTTGTTCAAACAGAATCAGAAATGCTTAATCTACAGTTTAAAAACCTTCAGACTGAGTGATGGTGAAACTTAGGTTGTGACCTCTGGTAGTATTTCAGGCTAGCACTTGCCATCATCTGGGTAACTGATTTAGAGATGAGCCCTGTTCAGTTAGTCAAATATGTCTATATCATTTATTTTACCATGACTAACATTGGCAGGACTGAACTTCTGTTGTTCTGTATATGCTTATAGTACCTGGAAGAATCCAGGCATGTGTACAGAAATGAGAAAGGAACTGGAGATGTTAAGACCTCTCCACATCTAGATTTACATTACAAACTTGTGGGGCTTTTCCGAATATTAACCAATATACTTGAAGCTTAAAAAACTTGAATGTGGAAAGTAGGTCTCCCAGTCGGGACCTGAATTGCTTGGGGTTAGCAGGGGGCTGTTTTTTGTTGCTATGTCTTTAGGAACAGGAAAAAGGCGTGCATGTTTTTAAAACCTTAGATAGAAATGTTTTGGTATTGTATTCTCGTTTTATTGGAACAGTTTAGCCAAAACCAAGCCTCTGAACTGATTTGGTCTGTGCCTTTTGCATGCGACTATAGTTTTTGTTTGTTCTAATTTGTTCGAGTGGGTTTTCTGGTTAAGACTGATTAAAACTGCTTCTTAATTTGTAAATGAGGCTGATGTTACCAGAATAGACCAATTAATTACCGGAAAAAATACATTCGATGTGAATAATGACATAAGGGACCATTATGGAATTAAAGAATGGTTGAGGCTTGAAGGGACATCTGGAGATCATAGAGTACAACCCACTTGCTCAAACAGGTTGCCCAAAACCATGTCCAGTCAGGTTATGGGTATCTCCAAGGATGGAAACTCTGCAACCTCTGTGGGCAACCTGTTCCACTGTTTGATCATGCTCACAGTAATTTTTTTTTTTCCTTCTGTTTAAACAGAATTTCTTGTATTTCAGGTTGTGCCCACTGCCTATTTACTCCCTGCTGCATCAGGTATTTATATCCATTGATACGATTTCCCCACCCCCTCCTCCCCTCTCCAGACTGAACAATCTCAGCTTTCTCAGCCACTCATACGTCAGGTGCTCCAATTTCTTAATCATCTTTGTGGTTCTTTGCTAGATCCTCTCCAGGATTGCCCATGTCTTTCTTGCACTGGAGAGCCCAGAACTGGGCCCAGCACTCCACATGTGCCTCACCAGTGCTGAGGAGAGGGGAAGAATTACCTCCTCCAACCTTCTGGCTATGCTCTGTGTAACACAGCCTAGGATACTGCTGGCCTTCTTTGCTAGGACACATTGCGGGCTTATGTTCAAATTTTTTGTCCACCAGAACCCACAGGTCTTTTTCTGCACAGCCACTTTCCAGATGGTTTAACCCCTGGTGTTTGTTGTTGCATGGGGCCCTGTGTTGAACTTCATGAGGTTCCTGTCTGCTCATATCTTCTGCCCATCAAAGTCCTTCTGAATGACAGCATAACCATCTGGTGCATCAACCACTCTCTTCAGTTTTGTATCGTCTGCAAGCTTGTTGAAGGTGCACTCTGTCCTATTATCAGGGTCATTTATGGATATATTAAATGATATTGCCTGAGGTATCAACATCTGGGGTACTGCAGTAGTGACTGACCTCCAGCTGGACTTCATGTGGATAATCACAACCCTTTGAGCCTGGCAGTTCAGCCAGTTTTCTGTCCACCTCACTGTCTGTTGAGCTAACCCACACTTCATCAGCTTGTCTTTGAGGATGCTATGAGAGACAAAGCCTTACAAAGCCTTCAAAAATACAAGATAAAGAATATCACTATGTTCCATATTCCACTAAACCAGTCATCTTATCATAAAAGACTAACAAGTTGATGAGGCATGATTTTTTCCTTCATAAATCCATGCTGACTATTCTTAATCACCTTCTTATCCTTAGCATGTTTGAAAATTATTTCCAGGGTTACTTGTTCCATCATCTTCCAGAGATCAAGGTGAGGCTGACCAGCCTGTATTTCCCTAGGTCCTTCTTACCTATCCTGAAAGTGGGAGTGACACTGGCTTTCTTCCAGTCCTTAGGAAGCTCCCCAGTTGTCATGACCTTTCAAAGATAATTGATAGTGGCCTTGCAATGACACCAGCCAGTTCCCTTAGCCCTCATGGGTGTGTCCTGTTGGGTCTCATGGATGTGTGTATGTCCAATCTGTTTTAAAGATTCCCTTGCCAGATCCTTTTCCATTGATTTATGTTTTCCTTGCTCCAGACTTCCCACTGATCTCAGGGGCTGGGATTGCTGAAGGCTGATCTTACCAGTAAAGACTGACAAAGTTGATCTTCCACCATGTCCTTTGTCACTTTTTCAGTAGAGGGCCCACGTTTTCTATAGTATTCCTCTTGCTGCTGATATACCTGTAGAAGCCCATCTCGTTGCCATACATGTCCTTCAGATTCAGCTCCAGGTGGACTTTGGCTTACCTAAACCTGTCCCTGCTTGCTCAAAGTGTCTCTGCATCATTCGTCCTTGCTGCCACTTCTCATATGCCTCTTTTACGTTTTGTCAGGAGCTCCTTGTTCATCTACACATGCCTCCTACCACTCTTTCTTGAATTCCTGTTACTCAGGATGGACCATTCTTGAGTCTGGAGGAGATAATCCTTGAAAATCAGCCATCTCTCCTGGATCCTTCTTCTCTTCAGGAACATATCCTATGGGATTCTTCTAAGTAGGTCCCTGAACAGGCCAAAGTCTGCTCTCCTGAAGTCTGAGGTTGTAAACCTGTTATATGTCTTGTTTCTTGCTGGATCCTGAACTCTACCATCTCATGGTCACTGCAGTCAAGGCTGCCCCCACGCTTCATATTCCTGAGCAGTTCTTCCTTGTTTATAAGTATCAGGTCCAGCAGAGCATGTCTTCTTGTCAGCTGCTCCATCACCTGTTGCGGGAACCTGTCATCACTGTACCTCAGAAGGTTCCTGGATTGCTTGTGCCCTGCTGTGTTGCCTTTCCAGAAGACACTAGGGTGGTTAAAGTTTCAGTTCCACTGGACAGAAGTTAATACACAAGGATTCATGGGTAGCTCACTGGCTGTGACAGGACAGGATGTGAAGTGGGATTTGTGGTAGGTATACACTGATGTGGAAAAATGGGCTACAGATGTTAGTGGCTAAACATACATCCTAGTAGGGATGGCATTGCTGTAAATATGAAATGTAATAATGTGGAGGTGAGAAAAAAGCCAGAGGGGGCTGCTCAGATGGGAATTGCTGGTGGAACAATCCTATTCTAATGTTGACCAGATGAAAATCTGCACGTAGGGGGAAAATATTGTAATGCTGAGAGTTAGAATTTGCTAAATAATAACACGATGAAACAGTTCACAAGTTGTCATTCAGGCTTCTCAGTGGATTGAAACTATGGAAAAGATGCAAAAGAAGCTTCAGATGTGTTTCAGGAATGCAATGGTAACAAGCTCTGATAGTACCCTTGATATGATACTGTTCTTATAAACAAGTTTTAAATATCTTATTTCACATGATAAAGCTGAAGTAAATCTTGAATGTGATGTAAATTAAAAAATAGAATTTTGGTAAAAATATCATTTTGTGACTAAGAAAAGAAAATTAAATAATGAGAACTGAAGGAATGCTGGGCTGTATCTGTCCTAGGAGATAGAGAACAGCAAGCCCTGAGTGGAAAATTCCAGCACCTTCATCAAACTGAAGGCTTAGGTAGCAATATTGGTATTTTGCTGCTGGGCAGACTGTATTTGCTGATCAGAACGTTGGACCAATCGTGGTTAGCTTTGAGTGTTTAGGTAGCCATTTGTTTAATTTCTATGCGATAACCCTTTTCTGGGAAAGTATTGATACACAGCTGAAAACTAAACACCTCTGGGTTAGCTCCCTTGGTTGAAGGCAAACACATGCTTAAGTGACTTGCTGGACTTGAGCCCAAGGGCCTCGTTCACAATTATGGCTCTGTTTCCCATCACACTCACGTTCTGTCATCAAATGTAGTGCTAGCCAGCATCTCTGCTTAACAATATAGCAGTCTTGTCATTTTGCCCATAATTTGGAGTTATGTTTCTTGCCCCATATTTCTAGAAGCAGCCAACATGGGGCAAAGGAATTAACAGGGTATCTCCTAAATGTGTTAAAATGTTTATGGCACTGCATCAGACAGATAGATGTTTACAAACCTTCTGGCTAGTTTTAAAATTGTGTACATCTCCTAAGTCCTGTTTTAGTAGGCGCAGGACCGAGAATAGCGGTAAATGGCACATCCATTGAAATAATAACTTTTTGAAAGTAGTGAATTGTGCATCCTTGAGATGCTGTCCTGAAAAAGAAGCCTCTGAAGTGGAGGAAAAAGCAGGTGGATGGATGCAGGAAGCAACTGGCTATGTAGAATAAAGAAGTGACTTTCTCAGTATTAAAATTGGAATTCTGTCTTCTGGAAATGGATGTGACAGTTTGTGAGTAAACAGGAAGTAACTCAGCAATCAAGCAATCTTCCTTCAACACTGACATTTTCTTTAAAAACTGAGGAGGGAAAATACAGAAGAGCGTGAATATAACCTTATAATTTGTTTCTGCAATTATTTACAGAGAAATTAATGCAAAAGCTTTCTTTACCCAAGAGAAGCATAAATTAATGGCTTCCATACAGTAGAGGTTGTATGTGGTTTCTGTACTTACTGCTGTTACAGACTATCTAATTAGTGCCTTTAAACTACATTCACAGTTCTTGTCTCTAGCTTGTCAAAACACAGTCTTTGAAAGGAGATGCCAAATCCGAAGTTAAAAAAGTAACCAAACTTATTTTGTCTGCAACTAGGTTTTTCAGTGGAGTTTGTGGAACTGTTTTTCCTTGGCTCCTGCTCCATGAGATCAACTATGGAACATGCTCAAGAACATGAAGCATGTCATGAGCAAACCCAGGGATATTGTGTGAAGAGGCCAATATATAATCAAGAGTTCTTGCAAGGACAGCTGCACAAACGAGAAAGAACACCTCAGACTTTAAGGCAGAAGATTGCACATTCTTGTCGGTACGTTTTTTGTCTTTATTTGTTGGGCTATAAATATTCTAATTTTCGATTCATGCACATAGCTCTTCAAAGAAACCTAAAAGATAAAAGCGCTAGTTCTACTTTGATTATTCAGCAAGACTGTGATGAAGTTGTATGTTTTAGCTGTTAATATATAACTAAATTACAACATTTTGCATAATTAGTTGAATTGCCTTCATCAAAGTGTAAAGGAAAAATATGCAGCATAGAAATGTGAAGTATTAAACAAATCATGTGACATGAATTCATAAGACCCCTCAAAAAAATCTGTCCTCTTTATGTGGAAATACAGCCAAATTTGTGCTTCCCGTGAACCTTTCACAGAAGAAGAATGGAGATGTATGAGAGCTGTGTAGAAATCTGAATTATTAGTCTAATAAGGACTTATTAGAGGCATTCTGTAGCTTTTAACTAACTGCCTTGGAATCTATCTATCATCTGGTTGGACTTGAAATGTCTTTAACTGTGCAACTCTTGCTCTGTGGTACCAGAGGATAGTGAAGAGAAACTTATTCTAGTTAAGTTCTTATTAGCTTTACATTTATCCATGCTTCATTTACAGAGTTGATTCAATTTCTTCCTAGAACCTTGTTCTGCAAGACAACAAATGATTTCTGCCTGTCTGCTTGTCTGTAAAATATTCCTGTTTACATGATTTGACATTTGGAGATCTGTTTTGGTTAATGGGATGACCATTCTAATGGTAATGGCACCTAATTCCACCTCAAAAAACTTATCTGTCCTGAATGAAATTATGTGGATCAAAATTCTCCCAAGTTATGACTTCTTGTGATTCAATCTGCTTAAATATGGAGAAGTGTGGCTGACTCAATTTCCTCTCTCACTTGTAGCAATAAGCTTTTCCACCCTGCAGTTTAATCCTATGAGAATTCAGAAATGTTAACAAATCTCTGCAGTTCTCTTGCAGTTCCCCTACACAGAAAAGCATTTATATGATCCCAGTGTTATATTTTTACCCAAGGTTAAACTTTCTTACCACAGTACAATCAAAGTATGATGCCTGGCAGTACTGGATAGAGATATTTTCCTGGCTCTATTCATTTGTCATGAGTCAGGGTTTCAAAAGGTTAATAACTCTGCTAACACACACAAGGATCAGAGTTTCTGGCTTCAGTGCCTTTTCTTTCAGGGTAAAAAGGGGTTATGTTCTCAAATACCCTTAAGTTAGCCTATTAGTACTAGTGATAGTAAAAAGCATTAGTAAAATAATAGTTTGAAAAAAAAAAAAAAAAAGCATAATAACGTAAAATGTTACAATCAAAAAAGTAGAAAGCATGCAAATAGTAAATAAAAATAGGAAAACACATTGCAAAGTACTTTGAGTGAAAACCACTATCAGAAAGCAAGTTATCCTCAGGGGATTGTTACTAGGAATGATCTCAGCAAAAACTGTTATGTGACTGCTCAATCATTTATGGACTTGAACAGTTTTACTTCCCACTGACCTCCAACCTCACAAGACTGTGATTCTCTTCTCCAGTTCCTTAAGGTTTGTAAACAGCAACCAACATGTGATAAAGGGCTAAATTAACTGGAGTCATAGTTGTTTGTGCTTAAGCTTTGTTCAGAAATTACTGTCATCAGGGGTCTGAACCTGCGTTTAATGGAGCTGTTACCCTGCACAGGGATAAAACACATTTTTTTTTTGACCCATTTGTCCCCTGGTACTGTCTAACGTTTTCTTTCTGCTTGGTATTTTCAGTTGTTCTTCTAAGAAAGCCAAGTCTCATCTTTACAGTTTCTTACCAATTTTAAAATGGCTTCCCCGTTACCCAGTGAAGGAATACTTACTAGGAGACATTATCTCAGGTATAAGTACTGGGGTTATGCAGCTTCCTCAAGGTGAGTATCTCTCTGGATTTAGTTTTACTCTCCTTTGCTTTTTCTGTGTGTGCTTTTATGGTAGTGCTTGGCTTCCTGAACACATGCTGGTGAGAATAGGATGTGTATTTCAGGTGTGTGTGGAGATCAGTACAGCATTCTGCAGACCAGCCCATAATGATGATTCCCTTGAAACTGCAAGTCAGTGCTATGCAGCAAACTCTGAAAGAATCCTACCTCTGTGCTCAATAACAACAGCTCTCGATGGCAGAAAAACTTTTCACAGTTTAAGTGCATGTCTAAACCTTTGTTAAAGGCACCCAATTATTTTCTGATCTCTTCATCCTAAAAGTTGTAGCAGACTTCCTGCAGAGTGTAGCAGTATGTAATAGACATATAGACATAATGTTTCAGGAGACCAACTATTGTAAAGTAACGAAACTAAATTCAACCAGAGAAGAATGTGCAAGAAATCAGACTGATCCGTCTTTCTCTCTTAAAGCTAGAGGTCACCAGTTTAAGCTGGAACCATAGTAGTGGTCAATATTTTACATGGTGGAAATAAATCCAAAGTATCTTCTATAACAAGTCTGCAAATCTCTGGAATTTCTAATAAATTACTTGGAAGTTTCACCCCACGAGGAGCCGGGCCCTGAAGCATGAGCAGGCTCTGTGGAAGACAAAGACAAAGCCAGTGTTACTGTTCTGTTCAGCTCTTGGTGACTGGACCAGTGAAATCTTTTGTTCAGCCTGACCCCTTACTGTCAGCAGAACTGCTATGGGGTTAGAAAGCGACAGCATTTTTAGAGCAGTATCATTATGGGGTGCCATCACTGCTCTGGAAGTGGCAGCTTCATGACAACTACCACAGTCCCAGTAGACTTCCCCAGGAGTTTTTGGAATAGAGGGGATTTGTGCAGAGCCCAGTCCAGAGGAGTCCTCATGCTAAGGGTAATACAATTAAGCATATATAAGTTTACGTGCATTTTGGCTTATTTCATATTTCCACATCACTCATTCCACTTTAAGCTGAGGCAAGTCTGAAGAATTAATCTGTAAATCCAGGAAGCCTAGAGTTTAATAGGTGGTAACCATTAAAGCAGTGGAATGTCCTAACTTAGTCTGTGCAGTTGACTTCTTTATTTCTGTAGCTTCCTGGGTTTGTGCAATTTTTTATAATTAAGGATGGTTTTTCTTACACAAATATAAACGTCAACTTGTCTTAAACTGATGTGGTTAACTGTCAGGCAAATCTGTCATATACTAGACACAAACATTACTGGTTGTATACTGAAAGACAGTTCATGTGATGACCAGATAAGATACCAAAATGTAAGCGGTCAGCCGTGAACTTTATACTTAAATTCATGACTTGGTTTTAAACTAAACATTATTCTTTCATTCGGTGACTGCAGACATGCCCTTAAACTGCTTCTAATCTTTCCCTTTCTAAAAAGCCAAAAGTTGAACTTTTATTTTTCTGGAATAGATGTAATTATAGCAAGCATGAGTTCAAAGAAGCCTGGGAATCAGTCCAGGCAGAACTACAATGACCAGGGTGTTTAAGCTGTGAACTCCTGTCATGTCAATATCTCTTTATTTCCTTGGCACTATATGCCTTTATAAATGCCAGTACAAATGAAAAGGAATAAAAGGATATTCAGATCAGGAACTTCACATAGACCCACTCTCCTGCTTTTGAAACCACTGGTTTTCAGTTCTGGTCACTTGTACTGTTAAGTTCATCACCATATTAGAGGCTAGGCTGTTATAGTACAGGGTGTTCTGCTGATACTCTTGGCATGAGGGGTAGCACCTGGGGCAAAGGATATACATGGGACGGGTTTCAGAAGTGCTTAATGAAAAGCTTGTTGCTTCAAGAGAATAAATGATATCATCAGTCCAGTTTGATAGGAATATGAATTCTTGGTTAGGGCTCAGACATTGCTTAGGGCATGAGCAAGACCATGTGAGCTATTATACTCTGCAAGCATGCTTGGATGACACAGAAGATCCCTTCATGGTTTTGTTCTTTCAGTGTAACCTGATGCTTCATCTCTCAATTTAAAAATAAATTAATAGGGAGAGGTGTTTTCCAGTATCACTAGCTCTCTGTGGTGGGTGAACCATTGCTTGCTTTTGTCATTTGCTGTGGACCGCTGAGCTTTTTGGTCCTAGCTTGGACCAGTCTGCCCAAGTGTGGTAAGAACACACAGCTTCCTTGAGTGTCATGAGTCTGCACTTGTGAAGGTGGAGAACCAAGCCAAGCCAGGATACAGCGTTTTCTTCTTGAGGCCCATTTGTTCAGTTCTGGTGTCTCATTCTCATTAATGCACGCCATGCAGAACTATTGATTTTGCTGCAACTGCTTGGGACAGTTATGCACCATATCACATGGTGCACACAGTTCACTTGTGAGCCTGATCCCATGATAAGCACATGCTCAGTCACCCAGAGGGGGAGCACTGTGGGAGGTGTCCCACCCCGGCATCCCTTAGAGCTGTTCCCCCACAGCTCCACTGCCGTGCTTGCCAGCCCCCCCTACAAATAGGAATGGTGTGGGTCACACTTCCACTGTGTGGAACTGGACAGGGATTAATAACTAAAAGGACTTTGTTTTTTGAGAGGAATACCAGACTATATAACTCTCTGTCCTTACAGATTGTGTGCAATGATTCTCTCCTTATTTTACATTTTGGAGCATGTTTTGCAGAAACTTAAACTGTTATGTCATCCCACTCATTCGGGGTGGGGGAGGAGGGAAGTGTTAATCAGTCATAGATTACCATGAAGATCATGTCTGATGAGAAAAGGAGGAGAAAAATCAAACGTGTCCCACTGGCTATGGGGTTTTGGGTGTTTCTAACTACATTCTTTGACAGATGAAAACAAAAGCAACAATAAGTGTTTGTTGACTATTAAGAAGTACTTTCAGCCACAAAGGCAAAACAGTGAGCACACTGGTGCACAGATGTACCCACAGACACGTAGGCACACACCTGCAGTGCCTGTGATTAGAGACTTCTTGGTTTCCTGACTCAAGCCATCAGGTTTCTAGGCACTGCCCTACAGTATTATACATATTAAAGACTGTTCCCTGCAAGACTTCTTGGTTTTTAAACCTGTGATACATCACTAGATTTCCTTTTAGGTGAGTTCAATTTTAATTGCCTTAACTCCTTTTGCTTCCGATGGTTTCTTTCTGTTGGTTGCCTAACATACATATTTGTTTCTGTTTTCTAGGTTTAGCTTATGCTTTGCTGGCGGCTGTTCCCCCAGTATTTGGCCTATATTCTTCATTTTATCCTGTCTTTCTGTATACATTTTTTGGAACCTCCAAGCACATATCAATAGGTACATCTGTATGGATAACTGAAAGTCCGTGTGTGTGTGTTTAAAAAAGTTGTAAAAAATAAAATTGGAGTAATAGAAAGTGTAGTTGTTTTCCATAAATACAAATTTAAGTGAATAGGAGAAACGAAAAATGTGTCAAACATTAGCAGTATTTTTCAATTGGTAAATTATCCATCCTACTTAGGAAGGAATAGAAGAGCATCTTTTACCAGATTAGATCTAGAAATGTGTGCTGTGAACTCCTGAACTATAGTTTCATCACTGCAGTCAGCTGTCTGTGTGGCCAGGATGAATCTTTAATTTGCATAATAGAAACAGAAAAAAATTATGGTATTTATTTACTGTAGAGGTGTATGTTCAACATCGGACTAGCTTTAATGGTGCTGAGTACTGGAGCAGATTTGGGGATTAAAAAATATAATATTTAGGTAGAAAACTCTATTATAATTTAATTCCATGTATCTCTTAATAAGAACCACTCCTAAAAAAAAAAAAAAAAAAAAAAACAAAACACCACCATGATTTTAACCAATTCTTTTCCTCTTATTTCAGGCACATTTGCTGTGATTAGTATGATGGTTGGCGGTGTTGCTGTGAGAGAAGTGCCTGATGAAATTATTTCTGTAGGCTATAATACTACTAATGTTACAGATTTCCTTGAATATTATCATGCTAGGGATACCAAGAGGGTACAAGTAGCTGTGACTCTCGCCTTTCTTTCAGGAATTATCCAGGTATGTGCTTGCAGTTTAAGGGCAAGTTTAGATGCTGCTGCTAGACCAGCAGTTGCAAGAGGTGCTGGGTCATGGCAGATCCCCTGTCAATAGACCTGTGTTTCAGCAGTGCCCTGTGTAGAATACAGGCTGCTTCGTGGCAGCCACAAAACAGAAGTGGGGAGGGATACACGGGAGACAAGTGTTTGTCTGATGTCTTGGCTTGACTGGGAAAAATGAGATCTCCCCTCTTTCATTTTGTCCCATCCCATCAGGAAAACTCAACCTGATGTTCTCTAATCAATGCATACAAACACATATGTTTGCCCATTTCCCACATTGCACTTGCCAGTGGCATGGAAGATTTGGTGCACTGGGGGCTGCTTACTGAACTGCAGCTTTGGAAAGGCCAAGTTCAGGTTTGCCTGATTTGGCTTGGGCATCCAGGTTGAGAAGAGGTGTCCTGTAGCCTGTCTGCTAGATAGTGCAGATGTTCAGGCTACAGTGGGAGTCACCTGGTTAATATTTCTCTTCTTCATTAGTTGTGTTTAGGTCTCCTTCGATTTGGATTTGTAGCCATCTATCTAACAGAGCCTCTGGTGCGAGGATTTACTACTGCCGCTGCAGTTCATGTCTTTACCTCTCAATTAAAGTATCTCCTTGGCATTAAGACTAACAGATACAGTGGTCCCCTCTCAGTTGTATATGTGAGTAACTACATTTACTAAACTTGAAAATTCTGCATTGTCTGGATCTAGAACTTAAGCATTTTCCTATTTTTTTTTTTTATTAATATTTTGGCACTAAATAGAATAATGCTTCAGTATTCAAAACTGGGTATGAGGTCTTTAAGTGCCACAGGGATAGAAGAGCATCTTAAGTGCAGCTTGAGTGCAACTTGATAGATTAGTCTGAGATGGACAGATTTTAGAATTCTGCTAAAGGTAGCTTTTTAATAAGAACAGGTAATGTTCATTGAAGCAAGTCTCTTGTACGTCGTGGGAAGATGTGCTAAGAAATTGCTTCACTGTAGACCAGACATGTTTGGCAAAGCTAGGAAATGTTATTCTCAGAACCTTACCCAGTCTGTATTTCTTTAATTTCACACACAATTCCTGATGGGAGTATTCTTGGTTCCCTGCTTATAAGCTGTTTTGTAGCGTGGTTGGATGCAAAGTGCTGTGTCATAATAAGTGTACCTGCTCATTATAGTAGTGGGAAAAACTATTTTGAAATAAAGACATTCAGTGTAAAACATTGCTGTTTATTAAAGACCCTAAGCATTAAAAGTGCATGTAGGGATCCAGTATTTGACATAGCTCATAGACTAGTCTTCCACTCGCCTTCTGTCAAAGACATAGTGATGCAAGAAGACAGGGTAAAAACCATGCAGTGTAAAGCTATGATTTGGTTAGTATGACTTAAGTAAAACCAAAAGCTCTTGCTCACTTGAATTTAAAATTAACAGTTGTACTCTGAAAAAAGTTTAACGAATCCATGCAGCAAATTACTTGTTTAAATGGACATTTCTAATTGAAATCACAACCAAAGCTTTTAAGTTTATACGAGCATCACTTTCTTGCTGTTATGAACAAGCAGATTTGAAATGCATCTGAATCTAATACGCCTGCCAGTCTAGGAAGCCCCAAGTTATCACAAAATCAATGCTCTGATTTTGCAGACAAGAACTCCTGAGTGGAAGAATAGGGAAGACCTCAGATATCTGAAAACCCAAGCTTTTGGGCAGATTGATGACTCAGCAATAACGAAGCATCAGGATTTCAACTGCATGAAGGCTACAGAAAATACTTTGTGGGAATCCTTCTTGTATATTTGTGCAGATATAACAAACCTTTTGGAAACAAGGCTGCACTAACGATTAATTCCTAAATTTGCTGTTCAGTTCACTAATCCAGAAACCAGACATACTAACTGCCAAACAAATAGGAGGGAAGGTATAAATTCAACATGTACTACCAGGACATCTTGAATGTATAATATCCTGATAGTTACTGTGATTTTCCTTCTGTCTAAAGAAGGGTATGTACATCTTCTTTCAAAGACCTCTCCAGAGGTCATTAATTCATTTATATTTTTTAAAATTCAGTGGAAGAAGGAGGACTAATTGATAGGGGAATCATTTACCCTCTTGTAACTTGTGTGTTCTAGCAAGCTTTCTTTCCTAGCACCCTTTTAATAATGTTTTCAACTAAAAGTTATTTGGAATAATGTCCAGTTCAACAGTGTTGCAAGACCACTGTTATTTTGTCATACTTCTATGGTAACCTTAATGGCTGTATTAGCAACTTCATTGTTTTAGAATGGTTTATGCAGCTCTAAGTAGATGTGACTTGCCAAAGAATATTTGAAGGTATTAGAAGGAATTTGCATTTATTGCTTTCAGGTAGTTGCCTGTATGAAATACGTGTGGAAATGTTGAGAATAAGAGAAGTGGTTTAGTTAAGACTTTTTCCCTATTATAATTTTTTTTTTCCACATATTTGCCCCATTTGAGGAAGACTGATATTGTAAATGATTGCAAGTGCATCTCCCTCACTGGGTTACTCTGAACTTCTGTGTTTTGTGGGAACAATGGGAATTTTGGTGAGACACTGATTCACTGTGATTATAAATGCAGAATAAAAACACAGCTGAACAGCACTGTGTAATTTGCTCTTTTGTGGCAAATCTCCATGACAATTATATTTTCTTAGGAATAATTACGATAATTCTGTTTTCTTACAGAGCATAGCTGCTGTGCTTTCAAAAATAACAACGACCAATATCGCTGCATTGATTGTAGGATTAACGTGCATTGTTCTACTGTTGATTGGCAAGGAAATCAATCTCCGGTTTAAGAAGAAGCTCCCGGTTCCTATTCCTATGGAGATCATTGTGGTAAACCAGTTGTGAAATTCTATACTAAATTATATAATATTTCTAAAGCTGTAGAAACTATCTCAGTTTCTATCAAGTCTTACTGAGCTTTAGAGTAACTTCTGTTGAACGTAATTCATTTGAGGGTTGATTCAGTTTAAGGTTTGGATACTCATAAGGTTAGGGACTGATGTGCTGAAGTTTTAGGTGTAAAGTCCCAGAGAAGAATTGAAAACCCAGTTAAACACCCACAGTGCCCTCTGGCAATGGGCAGGTAGAGATTTGCTGTACAACCCACTCTGTCCTGGAGATTCGGCACCTGAATGTTTCTCTGTGAGACATGCCTCTGAGTGGCATTTCCCACCGGGAGTCCAAAAGCCCAGAACCCCCTCCTGAAGGAAGGTGCTTACAGATCCCTGTTTCTGAGGTTCTGCAGGGCTCTCTCTTGCTTTTTAAAATGCAGTGGTAGAAAGAAGAGCAGGAACCAGTGGGAAATACTACTTAACTTTCCTTTTTCTGTTTCTGAGACTGATAACTGACTGCAGCATTGATTCTGTTTCAAATTACAATGCTAAAATACGTGGATAAAGCAGACAATCTTAATACACACAAAGTCCACATCTCAGATAACCTTTCACCTTTAAAAGTGGTTGGATTTAAAGATAAATTCTTAGATAACTAGAGCTCTCAAACAACATGCGCAAAATCAGAACCAAGAAAGGGAATAACTGAAGGTATGGGTACAATCTAGATAGAAGTAACAAAGGAATGGGATGCTGTGGAGAGGTGATGGAGGTGGTGTGATAGGGTGTTGTTCAACAGTAAGGCAATAGCAAAGCGATCTTACACCTGCTCCTTTCACTGCTGCTGCACCAGTGCTGTTTACAGATAGCATGCAGGTTATGCACGTGAAAATATGGCAGTGCAGACGTCCTTGGCTTGTCCTTGCATTAACTTCCCACCACACTATTCTGCCTGAGCTTGACTCAGGCAAAGTAAATTCAAGTGATTCAGATCATACCATAGGATGTTCCATTTAACTGTTTCCAAGAAAACTTTACAAAATCAGTGGGGGTTGAACATAATGAGGGGAAAATCATGATACTTCCTCCTTTTTATCTGCTTCTTTACCCCCTAACTCTTAGAAAACTGATGGACAAATAAATGTAATTCCTTGTGTGTATTATTCATAATCAGCTAACTATTATTAGTTCTTCAGGTGGCTTTATTTCTTTCTAGCTGATGTGTACAATGTGTTTGTTATTTTTTAGGTAATTATTGGCACAGGAGTTTCAGCTGGAATGAGTCTGAATGAGTCATACAGAGTGGATATCGTTGGGAATATTCCTCAAGGGTAGGGATGATATATTCTTATTCAAACTATACCTTTTCCGTATGGTGTATAGCTTTTATTATAGTAATTTTTAAATATTTATGTCATCTCCAAGGTTACGTGCACCAGCAGTTCCCAAGATCCAGCTCATTCCAGCAATATTTGTGGATGCAATAGCAATAGCAATAGTTGGATTTTCAATGGCTGTATCCATGTCCAAGATCTTTGCCCTTAAACATGGTTACACCATCGATGGGAATCAGGTAAAAGTATTGGGGTTGCTTTGTTGAAAATTCTCAGTAGCACCTTTGTTACATCATTAAAGTAGAATGGGATATTGGACAAAAATGAGTTTTAATTTCATAGCAGAATCAAGTCAAGTTTTTGGCAGACTACGCGTTTAAATGCCAGGAATTATTTTAAGTTCTGGCTGTGTTTTAATAAACAGTTTCACTTTAAGCTTCATTTCTGGAAACTTGCTTCTGTTAGACTTGGACATATGGATGAATATTAATTGTTGGGACAGACATTACTTAGCCTGCTGTCCTGGTGGGCAGCTACTTACTTTATCTCTGCTTTCTGTAACAGAGCAAAGCATAGAGTTCCCATGTGATAAATACAATGCTTTATGTGTCAAAGAACTATTATCTAAGATTTAGAAATTCCAATTATGTTTTACAGTTTCTTTTTATTCCCACCCATTGCAAATAGGCAGGTCATCATTTTCTGGCGCAGCAATTGGCCCTGTCCATAGTTAGCATTCTGATCGTGATTTGAATGATAAAAGCTGTGGTTAGAGACTCTCTAAAACTAAAATGATATGTCATCCTCACCTGCTCCGTCTTTCCTGTGCAATTTAGAATCAGTATTGCAATTGGATTATTGGTTGATATCATTTTAGTGTCAGGGGAGACAGGATGTTCATATGCTGTAACGCATTTCCTAGATCAAGCATCTGACACAGTGCAGATCAGCTGTTCCCTCTTCTCAGAATGGCTGTCTTCCTCTGAGAGTAAATGGACTTTAAATGACTCTTACTTAGAGTTTTACATCTGGTCAGAGGAATCTCATCCTTCATATCACTGTTCTCTGTTACCCAAGGAGAGAAGAGGACAAATCCTTAGCTGCATGAATGGAATCAGCTCTATTTATGTTACTTAAAGTAATTATCACTGACCTGAGTTAAGCACCTGGCTCTTCCCCATGAGGTGCCAGATGCTGCTTCACCTGGATGTTAAACTCTAGAACTCCTTGTCACAGGATGCGGTGCATGCTGAGTGTTTACGTGAATCAAGAAAGGATTGTACAAATGCAAAGAGAAAAACACACTGAGAACTATTGAAAACATAGAACTTAAATCACCTCAATTACAAACAGCAGGACACAAAGTAATCTGGGGAGGCCTCATGAAAAGCAGATACTTTCTTAGGCATCAGAAACACAGTACTGAGGTAGATGGAGCTCTGATCTCATGCACGTTAACAGTTCTCATGTGGGATCTTCCTGGTGAAGCAGTGGACACACACTGATTTTTTTCATGTACAGTAATGGATTACCACCCATGGAAACACAGCCAAGGCTGCTCTTGGTTCTAGTAGTACTAAACAGTTTCAATTGGGAAGCAAAGAACAGTGTTTGTATGAGAAACTGTTTTCCATGCATATTCAGGGTTAAAATGCAAGTTATCCCCAAGTTAAAGAAACCCTTAAACAAGCAATGCTGTAATTCATTTTAGTTTTCAGTCCAACTCATTATTGTAACATTTAAGGATGGGAAATGTCTCTAACACTTCATCAGATACTTTATTTAATAGACTATTTAACATCCACCAACTTGCATGTGTGAGAACCACAAGTATAAGCGACAATAGGGTTGCTTGTTCTTTACAATAAGGTTGCTAGAAAGCAGTGTAAATAAGATGTGGTTATTAATATGTATGGATAGGTCCAGCTTTGTATAGTTGCTAGATATAACTGCCTTTTATTTTGCTCTGTTGTTTAACACAGGAACTTATTGCCTTGGGAATATGCAACTCTGTGGGGTCATTTTTTCAAAGCTTTTCAATCACTTGCTCAATGTCTCGGAGTCTTGTTCAGGAAAGCACCGGTGGGAAAACTCAGGTATGTAAACTCAAATTTTGAGTCAAACAAAGTTTGCTTTTTGGACCTCCAAAGCTAAAGTCCGAAGCCTCACTAGATTTGCCAGATTCCTCTGCTTGGGCCAGAAGTTTCCCATGTATCACATCCAGACTGGGCCAGGTTAGAAAGCTGCACGACAGCCACAATGGGTGAACTGAATGGGATGGATCAACAGTCACTTGAACAACCAGCCTTGTGAAAATCACAGGAGGGGTTAGCTAAGCAGTAATACTGCTCTTTGGGGGCACTTACAGTTTCTGGCTTCTTTTGTTCAGATTGCAGGTGCTCTCTCTTCAATTATGGTTCTGTTGGTAATTGTGGCTATTGGATACCTCTTTGAACCGCTTCCACAGGTAAGGGAGTTCTGCCTTGTGCAACTTGAGGCCATTCCCTCTCATCCTCTCGCTTGTTACTTGGGAGAAGAGACTGACACCCACCTCACTACAACCTCCTTTCAGGTGGTTGTAGAGATCAGCAAGGTCTCCCCTCAGCCTCCTTTTCTCCAGACTAAACAACCCCAGTTCCCTCAGCCGTTCCCCATAACACTTGTGCTCCAGACCCTTCACCAGCTTCGCTGCCCTTTGGACACACCCCAGCACCTCAGTGACTTTCCTGTAGGGAGGGGCCCAAAACTGAACACAGTATTTGAGGTGCAGCCTCACCAGGGCAAGTCCTGCTGGCCACGTTTGCTTGCAGCATAGGACTTCTGGGAAGAGGTTAAAAGTTAAAGAAAAGCCATAGCTCATCTAGGAAAAGGTTGGGGCTGGGTGATGGCTTAGCACAGTGAGTTGGTTTTGCTGCAGTTTTACTTATTTGTATAAAATTATATTTGTGTGAATAAATGTATTCTGACTATAAAAAAACCTTTGTTTCTGGTGACATGTATAGGATGATAGGCCTTTCCTGTTTCTTTTTGTAGGACATGTACCTTGGTTTACACTTACATGACTGTTGAAGGAACTGTTGCAGTATGTTGTAGAGAAACTTGAATTTAAGATTATAGCCTAGCTGCTTCAGACACTACAGGCACTATAAATGCAGCAGCATGGAACTCAGGAATATGTGATTTCTCTTGCCAGGAAAGAGTAAATCAAACTGTGCTGACTCTGGCTTGCCACTTCTGCAGCTGCAGTAAAAGCATCTCTCCACTGAACTACTTGAAAAGTTGGGGTTTTTAAATGGAACATCTGTTCAGTAGGCTTACATAAGTTGTACAAAGCACATTAAATACAGTTATTTGTGATGCTTTTAAGGTCTTATCTGGCATTTGGTTTATTTTGCTTCTGAAAATTGCATTTGTGTAATATTCTTAGACGGTGCTAGCTGCAATTGTCATGGTGAACCTGAAAGGAATGTTTAAACAGTTTGGGGATGTCGCTCACTTCTGGAGAACCAGTAAAATTGAGCTGGTGAGTAATGCACAGCACAGCGCATATACTTTACTGTATTAAATTTGTTGCTCCTCTTCTTCCTAACCCCCAAAACAGGGTAAAAACTTGCCAAGGAGTTACAAATTGGTGTTGCATTGCAGCTGGACATAAAACATGGAGCTGTAGGTAGACTAGGAGAGTGATCTTTTGCAGACAAAAATGTTTTTGTTGTTATTCAACAACCTTTACCTCAAGTCAGAAGGAGTTTGGTTGCAGTAAAAGCAAAGCTTTTACGGTGTTGCTATAGGAACTGCACTGAAAGCTATGGGAATGTCTGAGAAGAATTTAAAAAACAGAGCAACAAATAAAACTACTTGAGGTTATTTGCCAACTTTAAAAAAAAAAAAAAAAAAAAAAAAAAACAAAACAACAACAAAAACAAAAACCTGGCTGCAGTGGGCCAGAAGTAAGAGTTGGAGGTAACATTTTGGTGGCATTTTTCTCCTGGATTAACTGAGTGATGGAAGTGAGGGATACTTGCAGGCCTTGAGTATTTTTTTTTATCCTAAAGTATTGGGAATCTGATAGTAACACAGCGTTCCTTGGAGAACGGGAATTAAGGCATTAATTAATATATGACAGTTTGCCAGATGTAATGTTAGGGCACCTTGACCTTTTATGCCCATTTGAAAGGTCAAGGCAATTACAGTCTGCTATCCTGATGGATTACATTATAGCCTGTTCCTGAACAGAAGTGATACATAGGTTTTGAGATTGAATTATGCTATTGTTTTTGGTGTTAGCATAAAAGAATGCATAATAACTCAGACCTTTTCTTTGTTTTAGGCCATCTGGGTGGTAGCTTTTGTGGCTTCTCTTTTCCTGGGACTAGACTACGGTTTGCTTACTGCAGTAGCGTTTGCAATGGTAACTGTTATTTACAGAACACAAAGGTCAGATTTCTTCTTTATCAAAATTAATGTTTACTGATGTTCTGTGTGGTTTTGTTTGTTTAAGGGGTGCAAATAAGCAGAAGACCTTTCTCCCCTCTTCAGCTGCGTGCAGGATAGAATCTGCTTCATAATATAGGTCATGCCCTGTGGCTCTGATCCAGAGTTCACATTTTATTTTTCTGAGAACAGAATTTCTAGAGGGCATGAACTTGCAATTTCAAGAATAAACAGAAGATTTTTTCAATTTCTTACATTGGTTAATATTCTTGTTTACTTTTTTTAACGCCTAGAGTTTAGAACTTCAAAACTGCTTGGTGCCAGTTTCAGTAAATTATTGCATTTCATGTGCGCTAATTGTCACAGTCAAGTAGAAGTTGTGTCAGGTTATCACTAGATGAATGTTTAGGTATTTTAAAAAAAGTTCTAATTCATCAAAAAATTGTGCCCACCCTTCGAGTTTTTCAAATCACTTCCCCTCTCTCCCTATTCAAAGTGACAGATTTTACTGTGAAGCTTTTGTAGACCTGTTGATCTACAGTGAAATGATTTCTTACATGTGTGGATAGGACTGCATGTGAGGCTTCTAGGCAAGGTCTGGGACATCTAGGTTGAAAAAGTCTAAAAGTCTTGGTTTTGATCTGCACTGGAATGAAACCAAATTCTGACATTTCCACTGTGCATAGAGTATTTTTCTGCCATCTCTATATGGTTTTGGTTCTGCGAATAGAATAGTAATATACTTTGCTGTCACACTGCTTGTGAGTTGGGAATGTTCACTGCTCAGATATTGTTCTGGGAGCAGAGTTGCTCTTTGAAATTGTAGCATATTTTCTGCCAGTATGAGTTTCCATATTTGCAAGATAGTCAAGTGAGTTGCAATAGTTCATGCCAGAGAGAATTTGCCTTGTACCTTTGCATGCTTTGGCCCATGCTTTTCAGAAAATGACAACATTACAGTGCTAAGTTTATAAATTGGTTTTGTGCTAACAGAAGCAAACTTGTCTATTCACCAAATGGCCCCTTTATTATGTTCCTGCCATAAACTGCCCAGTGCATTTGACCATGTTTAGATAAGCCTATACTAGACAGGCACTGCAGAATGGCCATTTAAAATAAATTTCAGTCTTTATTGAACACTCACTTTTCCACTTTATAAGTGATAATACTGAAACATTTGCTTCTGTTTCTCTCTAGCCCTCAGTACAGAATCCTTGGTCAGATTCCTGACACTGACATCTACTGTGATGTGGAAGATTACGAAGAGGTAGGAGTGTATTCGTCTGCATTGAAGAGTGGAGCAAAGATGACTGTGGCAATTTGCTGCTTAGCCCTACCACACTGCACACACAGCACCCTCTGCCTAGCATTCATCTGTGTTGAAGGGAAAGGAAAGAAATTTTATTTTAGTCATAAAAGCTATTTTGTTCAAAATCACAGCTTTTTGTACTGCATGTACGTTTGACCAGGAGGTGATCAAAAGTAATCTTTACACTAGTTCTGTTGTGCTAGCTTGTACAAAATGGTGAAGTTTATGGGAATGCCACTGCTAAACCTGCTGTGTGCACAAGTGCATACAAGGCACCTTCTTTACTTGTGTAGCAGCATTGCATGAAATCCAGGAAACTGGGATCCAAACTGGTGTGTTCTTCAGAATTGCACAGACTGTTCAAAACAGCATCTCCCTGTCTCCACCCATCCCCTGCTCATTTGGTGTACGTGGTTAATGGCACAATTGCTTGCCATGCAGTCCACTTCTTATATATGTCATTTTGTACAACCCAATGTTGGTGAAGCAGTATATTTTGTCAATATAATGGATATAAGCACGCTGTATTTATTCACAAACAGCAACTATGGTTTTCTGCATGCTCTGCCATATTCAGAGGTCCTGCTATCAAGGCTATGTCCCCCTTTACTAAGGAACTGGTTTACAAAAACCCATGTGAAAAGATGATGCTGTAATCTGAAAACATTCTCTCACCAGCAGTTCTGCTTTGAATATGATACAAAGCAAAAGTGTATGTGGGCATGTTTATAGCTGTATGCAAAGAAGAGGAGACTCCATTCATGTTATACTGAATGCAGTTAGCATTTCCTCCTCCTGTTTAAAGACGGGATTGGCAGTGTATGGCAGGCTGCATCTCTGATGCTGGCCAGGTCATTTGCATGTAAAATGTCAGTGCAGCCTGTTTAGAGATAACTTCATTTAAAGTAGAGGAAAGAAGAAATATTGAGACCTATCTGAAGGCCTTTTTAAAACCAAATACTTGAAAGGCTCTCTTTTTGGTACCTGGGGAGACAAAAAAAAAAAAAAAAAAAAAGAGAGAAAGAGAGAAATAAGTCATTGTGCCTGAAGAAAGGGAGCATTCCTAGGTCTGCATGGTTTCCTCATGGTAACACCAGCTGCAGATAGCAACGTCAGAGAGCTGCAAATATTTAATTCCTTTTTATGGCTGTACATTTCATTGTTATAAAGAAGGAGAAATGTCACGTGGCATTGATGGGGTGCAGTATTACACCGGGAAAGGGGGAGGTTCTGATCCTCTCATTGGCTTTGCTCACGACGGTGACAGCCTTCTTTATTTGACACATGCTGACAGCCATTCAGGGTTAGCTGTTGGGCTCCTGCACGTTCATGTGTCTTGTGATCACACAGGTGCTTTTCTTCTGCTGCAGGCAATACATAACTTTGCACATCCAATATTATTTTCCTTAGGTTAAAGAATATCCTGGAATAAAAATATTTCAAGCTAATGCATCACTTTATTTTGCCAATAGTGAGTCATATACAAGTGCACTGAAGAAAAAGGTGAGTAAAGCAATTCTTTAATGTCTGTCTTGAAAACTCAAACTGGCTTCTGAAACATGTTAATCTTTCAGCTCCTTTAGTGTAGCCCCTAGCATAGTGTTTCTCAGCCCGTGGCCCCTGGTGATCGGTAAAATATGGTGACTCTCCAGCCAACTGCAAATTATCTTGGGAAGCAACAGCACGGCAGGAGGGAATAAAGGGAGAAAGTGTAGGGTAATATGAACTGCTTGTGAATGGGAGGTCTGGTGGTTGCAGAGCACAAACTGGTCAAACACATTTTTTTTTTCAGAAGGAAATAAGTAGTTGCTGAAATGAAAACAAAATGTCTGAGAGTAGAAGCTTCCTTCCTGGGTGACAAACTTTACTGGAGTGTCAGACCGTGGAATACTGTGGGCATTTAATGGTCCTCATGAGCAAAATATTACCTGCATACAGAGTATGCCTCACCTCCTGTCTAACCAGTGTTTGACTGGGTGGGAATGGCAATAACAGAACTAGCTATGGGCAGAATTGCCTGACTCGGTAGCAATTGCACCCTTACTAACTTCTGAAACATTTTTCTGTAGCTCCCATGATGAGTGTTATGCAAAACAGGTGGGTGGTACTTACCTTCACAAAGCAAGAGGTATTAGTGATTTATGTCCAAATGCACTTCTCTCCCCTTTGCTCTCTGCACTTGAATCAGCATTCGGTGGAAACATGGCACTCTCTGATTTCAAGAATAGAATGTGATGCATCTCTTCCTCATCTTGTTAACACAGTGCTTGCCAAGATTATTCCTTCTTACTTTATACTGTTCTCACCCCCACCAAGGGAAGCTGAACAATACAGGCTTGTGTTTTAAATTTATGACAGTGATGAATTCAGTGCTAATTGATACTGCAGTGTCATCCTAACAAGCTGAATCTCCTCTGATCATTCTTTCTTTTTATGACAGACTGGAGTGGACCCTTGTGCCATATTGGCAGCAAGGAGAAAAGCCCAGAAGAGGCACGCCAGGGAAATAAAGGCAGCAAATGAAATCAGAAAGAAAGCTGTATTGAAACTAGTGAATTCTTCGGTAAATATTTACCTCTGCTTTATCAGCTAACATGCTGCTTTCTTATGGTACCATTCCTGTTTATACAAGGTGCAGAGTGCTACTCAGGTAGGAAGGCTTAGGGAGCAAGCACTGAGCAGTGAGGACAGGCTACTGAGGGAACAGCATAAGTATCGGAGGCTCGTGGCTGGACTGGATAACTGGGTTGAACTTTCATTGCGTTCCACATGGCGGAGCAGAGCCTCTCCACACCGTCACACTGTCTCAGCAGTGGTGTCAGCAGATAGTGGGGGGAACCTACCTCTGACCCTCCCCACACACTTGGAATAATCATGCAGAAATAGAATATCACAGAATCATAGAGCAGCTTGGGTTGGAAGGGACCCTAAAGATCATCTAGTTCCAACCCCCCTGCCACGGGCAGGGACACCTTCCACAAGACCAGGTTGCTCAAAGCTCCATCCAACCTGGCCTTGAACCCTTCCAGGGAGGGGGCAGCCACAGCTGCTCTGGGCACCCTGTGCCAGTGCCTCACCGCCCTCACAGGGAAAAATTTCTTCCTCATATCTAATCTAAATCTGCCCTCTTTCAGTTTAAAACTGTTACCCCTCATCTTACCCCTACACTCCCTGATAGAGTCCCTCCCCACCTTTCCTGTAGCCCCCTTTAAGCACTGGAAGGTCGCTATAAGGTCTCCCCAGAGCCTTCCTTTCCCCGGCCTGAACAACCCCAACTCTCTCAGCCTGTCCTCGTAGGGGAGGTGCTCCAGGCCCCTGATCATCTCTGTGGCCTTTTCTGGACATGCTCGAGCAGGTCCATGCCCTTATGTTGGGGACCCCAGAGCTGGACACAGCACTGCAGATAATATATAATATAATCATAATTACAATAATGATATAATATTATATGATATAATGAGTCATTCATTAGTGTAAATAATATAAGTTATTATATAAATTTATATAGATATAATAAAATGTATTACAGTTAGCAGCCCTTGTAATGAAAAGGTGCCATCCGTACTGCTGATCCTGGTGTGGTTAAGAGAGGCAGGTGCACTGGCAAGTGTTGTTTGAAACACTCTTGTGCTTTTGTGCATGTTTAAGTTCACCCCCATGGTGGGAGCTGGTGTGCGCTTTTTACCATGGGAAACCAACCAACTACCTAACCTAAGAGCCCAATTGCTGTTGCTTCTTTGGAATATATAGGCCTTGACAGGATCAGCAGGGATAAGTCAAGGAAATGGAGTAAAAATATATGAACAAGTGTCAGTGTTTAAAGGAAATGGATAATTCATGCCTAAGATAACAGCTTTAAGCTGCTTGCATGTGACCATAGAAAGGCTGGGCATGAGAGAATAAATCTTGGTACACATAAGACATGGAAGTATGTGTGTGTGTAGAGCCAGTTTCTGTAATGGTTAGGAGCTGTACATCTTTTAAAGGCTGAAGGAACAGATGAGTATGGGGAGGAAGGGGATCTACACTGAAAAAGAATTGGCTGTCATTAAGCTTTATTTATCTTCTCTCCCAGACTAACGACGTGGAAGCAAGTGTAAAGCATGAGATAGCAAATGATGAGTTACCTGTAAATGGAAAATTTGCATCTGCAGATGCTAGTGCACAAGACATGTCTCCTGATGAGCATGAACATTTTGTGGACCCCAAAACAAACATCCACTCTTTAATTCTGGATTTCACACCAGTGAACTTTGTGGATTCAGTCGGAGCGAAAACATTAAAATCAGTAAGTAGGGCTTTTTTCCCCAGAAAAACCCATAGAAGACTGGTAAGCTACCTATTAGGGAACCTGTTAGCATGAGACATAAATGCCAGCATAAATACAACCCAGTGTCTCACCTAATCACAGTTTTAATTCTGTAGCTCTGCAAGTTTTAGCTGAATACTGGGGAATGTGGGCTGTGCAGCTTTCATAGTAATTGGCTTACGTCTTCCAGAACTGCGATGTGTACGGTGATATACTGGCGTTTAACTTCATTTTAACTCTGTTGCAGATTATAAAAGAATACAAAGAAGTTGGTGTCTGTGTCTGTATTGCCAGCTGTAGTGGTGAGTTGAGATTTCAGGGGTTTTTGTGAGCTTTATGGGAGAGACGGTATTTTCTCTCTTTCCCCCAACCCCAAACTTTCTTCTGCCAGGTGCCTCAGTAGTATCAGCACTTACTTCACATAAAACTGGATTAAAATTTGTTTTGAGGAAAAGCAAGCCCGTGAGCATTAGAGCCTTCATTTTTGTGAAAGTAGAGCACTGACGTAATGAGTTCTGTGAGAACTAGATCCTGCTCCCATTTATTCCAGCTGGCAAATTGTAAATGCCACACCGAACTTTTTATCTTGCAATTGTTGTAATAAGGAGAAAAGCCTGCAATGTTCCAAGTTTCTGATATCCTGCCAAGAATAGGCCTCTCTGCATGGCTGGATAAGAGAATTACCCATTTGGAGTAGAAGTAGCATGTGATCCACCTGGCTATTTTAAATGTTTTAAGTAATAATAAGAGAACAAATTGTTGTCTTCTTTGAGATACCATTGCCTTCCATCTTTGTACTTCAGTTTATGCACTGATGCCATGTCTGGTTTTTATTTTGTAGACCCTGTTATGAATGAGCTGACAAGACTGAATTTTTTTGATAACACTGTAACAAGAGAGTTGCTGTTTCACAGCATTCATGATGCTGTCCTTGCTCGTCAAGTGAAAGACAGGTCTGCCTCACAGACTGACCTTGACCTCTGAAGAGTGGCATCGAGCAAAATGGAAGCCAGATTTACGCTGATGGAGACTCTTTCTGAATATTTAATTTGCACAGTTTAAAGAGAGCCTAAGGCTATTTGTATCTACGGGTATAGGGCAGTGCTTATTTTCTGTAGAAGGAATGAATAAGGAATTGGAAGCCTTCATGCTCTTGAATTTTTTCCTTCAATCAGGTTATAGCCTTCCAACAACATACAAGCACAAAATTATGCAAGACAAGAAAATTCAGTGTATTCTGCTATAATCAGAATCTGATTGACAAGGTAACATTCCTGTTCCTGTTGAGAAAATGGGCACTTTAACTCACTACACGGTGGGATCTTGCAGGAAATAACTGTTCTGCAACTGCAATGCACTGTACCAGTGTCTTTAAAGAACTTTTAGATGACTTTTAAAGCCTGACGTCAACATCTGCATACAACAGATTCGTATAAATTATAATAATCTGCCAGCTGGATTGGTTAATTCACACTGGTGGCATTTAGCTGCTACACTTTTTAAACCTGGATGGTACAGTTATTTTTTTTTTTAAATATCTAACCTGTCTCAACTATACTCAACTCTTCATTGCCTTAACATTTTCACTCTAAGTGAACTTCAAATTAGAAACTCATTGTTTAAGTATTGTATTATCAATACAGTACTTTCACTGCCAAAACCCAGTTATACTTTCTACAAAAGAATACGGTTGATTTTAAGCTAAAATTAGTTTAGCTTCAGAGTTTGAAGACAAAACTGGTTTAAGGCAGGAGTGAATCCTATTAAAAGTAAATAATGAACTGATGCCCTACATGCAGTCTCTTAAACTGGAATAAAAATGTAGACAAGGTCTGAAGTCTCAGTGGTCAAAAAAAAAAGAGCAGTACTTTTCTGCTACTGAGATACCGTCCTACCAGCAGTGCTGCTTCTGCCTCAGTTTTTAAGTGCTTTGAGAAATTGTTGCGGTTTAACCCCAGCCAGAAACTAAGCACCACACAGCCGCTCGCTCGCTCCTCCCCCCTCCTAGAGGGGTGGGGAGGAGAACTGAAAAAAAAAGTAAAACTCATGGGTTGAGATAAGAACAGTTTAATAATAAAATAATAACAATAAGAACAATTAAAATGTTATAATAATAATAATAGTAATAAAAAGGAAGATAACAAAGAGAAATAAAAGCCAAGAAAAAACAAGTGATGCTCACCACCCCCGGCTGACGCTTGAGCAGCGATCGGCCCCGCCACGCCAAATCCCCCCCGTTTCTATACTGAGCATGATGCTTTATGGTATGGCATATCCCTTTGGCTGGCTCAGGTCAGCTCTCCTGGCCACGCTCCCTCCCAGCTCCTTGTGCACCTGCTCGCTGGCAGAGCACGGGAACTGGAAAGTCCTTCATTTAGGGCAAGCGCGACATAGCAACAACTCAAACATCAGTGTGTTATCGGCATTATTCCCACACTAAATGCAAAACACAGCACTCTGCCAGCTACTAGGGAGAAAATTAACTCTATCCCAGCCAAAACCAGAAGAAAAATAGATTTCAGTAGAACTGAAAAATGCTCCATGTTCAGGGTTTTTTAAAAGAATCGGTAGTGTGGGGGTTTTTTCTCTGTTGCCTTCACAACCTGGCTGCTGTGGTACTGCTTAACTTCAGGTGTGAGACAACATGGAAATGTAACTCAAGCAAAAGAAAGAAATCTTCACTGCCTGCATTTCCCTAACAGTAATCACTATGAATCTGAGCAGAGGTAGGAGCCTAGAAGTGTTTCTCTGTAGGTTATTTTGACAGCACAGGGGAAGTGGAGTATCAGTGACATTTCACTTAGCACCCTCAAATCAAAGGTCCTGTGCATAAGGGAATTCAAACAACTTCCTCTCTTCTGAATGCAGAACTTAATGCTTTTCTTTTGCTTCAAGCTCTGTTGTGATATGGGCTTGCTTCAGGTAAACCAAGTTTCCCAAGAACTGGGGGCAGTCAGGGAAGACGTTTTATTTCCTCAGCCTCCCCTGCCAGTAGGGATAGGAAGCTTTCTGCATCAGAAATTACTGCTTAGCTGGAGTTCAAAGGATTAATTGAATGCAAGTTAACACATTGTGTGTGTTTATTTAAACATCTGGTTCATTTTATAACAACTAGTTTTAACAAGCCTTTGTATCTATATACAGTATATTTTTCTACTTTCAGCTTGCTGCAGCTTCAATTTTTAACTACGTAGTCTCTTCAGTTCACGTCAAAATCCTGTCAACGCCTAGAATAAAGTGATGATTGTGACTTGTCAAATTTTCCACTTTGTCCTGGTGACGCTCTGTAGGTGGGACAAGCCGAGGTGCCCGGAGGCGGCTGTGGCTGAGGGAGGGGTGAGGAAGGGTCACCACCCCCACGCGGGTCCTCCCTGCTGCTCAGCTTCCTCCTCCTCGCCCCACAGCGATCCCCTTGGTGCCGCGTTCCCCATCCCGGCAGCGACGCCTGCGCTGCCGGGGAGCTGCCGAGCCGCCGGCTGGAGACCCTCTGCCCAGGACAGGCCTGGCTCCCAGCCCGCGCGGCGCTGGGACTCTGCCGCCCAGGCCCCGGTGCTACCAGCGCTGCTGTAACTCAACCAGGACAGTAAAATCTGGCGGCTTTTGGCCAGTCGCTTCCTCTGCCACCAGCCGAAGCACTGCTGCCTCCGCGCCAGCCTCCCTTTACCTCCTGAAAAGGAAACTGACTTCCTCTTTCCTCTGCCGATTCACAGACTGCTCTCTCAAAACTTAAATCCTACCTTAGGCTCATCTGTGGCTTCACTAGATTAAACAAACCCACATCCTCTAAACTCGCCCTGGGGCTCATCTCCTTCCCCTCTCCGGTGTCACTGCAGCGACAGGGCGGTGCCTCTACCCACTCACCTGCTGAAGCCCCACCACAGCAAAGGGCCCTGGATTGCCAGAGTCCTCTTAATAATATACCTCTTAATAATCAGAGTAACATTCCTCTCCTTTTTTGCAAGAGTACTGACGATAATTCAGGATACCTGGTAAGATCCAAACTCTTTTTACATACTTCACTTACCCTTCTTAAGTAAAAAGGACACGATTTCAGGTGCTGCTCTTGGTAAATGGCTACTCTCAGTGCTGCTTTCTGAACCACCTTCCTCTCAGGCTCAAAATGAAAAAAATTCTGTGCCACCAATAAACTTGCATCCCTCCCCAAAACGTTCTTACCAAAATAACACGTAACAGCTGAGATCAGTTTTTCAAGCAGGTATGGGCAAACCACCGGATTGCCCGAACTGGCTTAGCAAAATAGTGACACCAGCCAAAATCCTAACGAAGTCCACGTACCACATGCACTCTCCCTATTGCACACACTTTCTCTTTCGAAAAAATAGTGTCATCACACTCTAAGCTTGATAAATTGATGTCAGTTATAACAAAATGAGACCTGATGAAAGTTCTCTCGCTTCCAAGACAAAGCAGATCCCAAAAGCATTTTTTCCCCCAGGGTATTTCTTTGAGCTTACCCCCCCACACACAAAAACATTTAATGCAACACTTGGAAAAGGGAAAACAGAAAGCTGTTGCTTTTCATTGACCAAACCAGCTCTGTACGACGATGGTGGACAAGAGCAGCTCAACCTTTCAGTGGTGGCTGCTGTCACCAACCATCAGCTATTGCCCAGCTGCCGGAGCATCAGGACCCCCCCAGGGTCATCCTCTCTGCACAGCAGCACCTTAGACAATACGATGTAACGAAGTACTCCCTAGTAGAATGATGTGAAACTTTAATCTTTCTTAGAGGAGGAACAGGAAAAATGAAACCCTCCTTCCCTTAGTGCTAAGAAATCATGCTTACTTCTTCCTTCTTGACCCACTCACTAGTTTGTAAGAAACAATCTCAGCGAAAGAGAGGAAGAAAACCACTGAAGAGAACAAAACAGGGTACCAGAGCTTCACCCAGGGAGAGTAAAAACACCCCTCCACGTCTCCCGCGCGCCGGGCGATGACTGCCCACCCGAGCTGAGCCGAGCTCTGGGTGCCTGCCCAGCTCAGCCCCGGGTTTTCTTGCGACACACCTCCCCCTCGCTGCCAGCGTCACGCAAGCAGTTCCCTGCGCACCCAGGAACCCAGCACTCACCTCAGCACCTCTGCAGCTTAGGGGGGTGGGGTTTGGGGTGTAAATGGTGACTAGGGATAGAACCTTTGGATTTCTAACATTGCTCAGGTTCCTGATTTTAAAATATCTCACTGGTTTAGGCTGTGTTATTAGAATCTCACTGAGACTTTTTTTCTACAGCAACCATACCCCAGCACTATGGAACACACTCACAATGAACTCACTCCTCCCGTTTGGAATTCTCCATTTATTTTTAGCTTCCAAGACACAGACGTGGATTACTACGCTAGCACTTTTGTTTCACAGAAAGTTTTAACAACAGAAACAGGGAAAACATTCCAAGATATTAGTTGTAGGTCATGTAGCGGGGGGTAGCACTGAATTTCGCGTATGATTTGATGACTTTGTTCACTGCTTCTAAGAAGTCTTTCTCTGTCGCGATTTTTCGGCGTGCTCGGATAGCAAACATGCCTGCCTCCGTGCAGACACTGCGAATCTCAGCACCTTTGAAAGAAAAAGATAAACAAATTCAACACTGACCACCAGGGGAGATGAAGCACACACAAAATTGTTTTAAGAACAACATCATTCAGCTTACCAGTGCTATTGGGACACAGCCGAGCCAGCAGCTCAAATCTGATGTCTCTCTCAACACTCATCGAACGAGCGTGGATCTTGAATATGTGAGTTCGCCCCTGAAAGAAGGGTGAAGGATAGAATTGTTCATGGTGTGAAAGAGGTGATGACTCTAGCATGCAGCTGTCCACATCCAGAGCAAGGGCAAATGGAAAATACATCTTTTATTTGCTGCCAAACTAGTTTCCCATGTCTGGAGTAGCGCAGTTCAGTGTCCACGGTACCGAATTATGAAAAAGAGCTTTACTTTGATGGTAGAAGTATCGCAAGAAATCTCTCTCAAGAGAGCCAAACAAAACACATTCCAACTTAAGAACTACATCACAGATCTGGTTAAATGATTTTTTATCTGTTGAGTCAGGA